GCAACTTCTAATCTTCCATCTGTTTGGAATTACATGTGTAACATCAAATGGTGTAATTAGTACTTACTACTCTCATTCACTTCATTAAATCTTTTGTTGTCACTTTTGTGTGACAGCATATATTAATGAAACATAATTGGAGATTGTCAAACTTTTTCTTTCTTTTTTTAAATTTTTGTGTGCTATCATTTTCCCATTAATTTAAGGCCACCGTTTTTGTTCGCAAGACTTATATTCCTGCCTTTGTATTCTACAGGAAGAATTGCGTCCATATTTCTCCTTGCCCAAGGTCATGGATGGCCTATTTAACCTAGCAAATATTCTTTTTGGAATTAATGTTGAACCGGCTGATGGTCTAGCTCCGGTATGTATGCATTTTGGAATTGCTATATTTTGGTTCATTTAATGAAGATATGAATTTGCATGCTGTACTCATATACAAATATATACACACACACGTCTCTCAGGTTTGGAACAATGATGTTAGATTCTATTGCATCAAAGATTCTTCTGGGAGTCCCATTGCATACTTTTATTTCGATCCATATACTCGTCCATCAGAGAAAAGGGGAGGTGCATGGATGGATGAAGTTCTTGCTAGGAGTCATGTATTGTCACGTGATGGTGCCTCTGCGAGGTTGCCTGTGGCACACATGGTGTGCAATCAAACACCACCAGTGGGAAACAAGCCCAGCCTTATGACCTTCCGCGAGGTAAATTGAATTACATTCATTTTTAGCTTACTGGCCATGACCAAATGCTAGAGTAATTAGAAGGGGAGCGAAAGTTAAGGAGTTCAGGGGATTTTTTAAGTGGGAATGGAAAAGGAATGTGCCTACTTTTGAGGTCCATCATTTTTTTTTTTTTAAGGAGATCAAGCCCATCTTTTCACTTCCTCCTGTATTGGAGCTATATGAAAGTTTGATGTTATAGATTACAGAAAGTGTGTTTCATAGATCCAAGGATGTATTACGGATCCCCCATTCAGATTGAGATGCACTGATCAAGTCCATCCATCTAGTGGTTGGAGTGACTTTATTAATTCTGGTTCAGCATGAGTAAGTGTCGATTGGTTTATGTGAAGGCCTTGGTATCCAATCAACACATGCCCAATTTTAAATTATATTTTCAGAAACACTTTTACTATTGATGTTGTGACTGGCTTGGTCCGAGGAATGCATGCAAGTATTGCCAAGTCTAGGCTTGTGCTATTGCTGGTAACAAGTCCTATTCTTCTACTTGTAGAATGTTAATGAGTATTTTTTTTTAAGTTGATATATTCAACTAGTAAAAAGGCTCTGAATTTCTTTATAGAAAGAAAATCTGGGAAATTTTGGGTGGGGCACTGAATGCCACATGTTTGTATATTTTTGTCTTACAGTCATGAAATAGTGATTATTTTTGCAGGTAGAGACTGTCTTCCATGAATTTGGTCATGCACTTCAGCATATGCTGACTAAGCAAGATGAGGGTCTTGTTGCTGGTATTCGGGGAATAGAATGGGATGCTGTTGAATTACCCTCTCAGTTCATGGAAAACTGGTGTTACCATAGGTAATCTTGTCTGCTAAAATCCTTTGAACTATTATGCTTCGAATCTTCTAGATTTACCTCTCAAATGACAGACCTTTATACTGATTGTGTCGAAGAGGGAGATGGGGAAAGGGATACATGTATGAAATATATAGTTGCTCTATCATCTCATCACGCACTTGCCCTTTGTTTCTCAAATTACTTACCTTTATACCGATTGTGTCAAATTTGCGTGCTATGCTTTAAAACTTTTATATATGTGGGAATTCTGTCCTAAAACCTAGAGCCGATTTCCCTTCCATGCTGTATCAAGTGACAGTAGGATCCTATGTTCTTTGTCTCAGTATTAATGATTTATTTCTTGAATTGGTGCTGTAGAGACACTTTAATGAGCATTGCAAAACATTATGAAACTGGGGAGACTCTTCCAGAAGAAACATATAAAAAGCTTCTCGCAGCTAGGACTTTCCGTGCAGGCTCCCTAAGCCTTCGGCAGGTCAGTTCAGTATCTTGGTGTTACTTTTTCCAGACATCGTTTTGGATTTTTATATTGTCTATTCTTGTACTTTTGATATAAATATTACTTGGTTTTACTTTTATTGAGGATGTAAATCTGGATTCTTTGTTGGGTTTTGTCTTGCTTATCCTTGTGCTATACAAGTATTGTTTGTTCTCTGTGAAGGATGTCTTTCTTGTGGTGTTATACTGAGGTTATGTCAACTTTGCGCATTCTGGCATCTTGAAGACTTTATGACAAACATCTTGTCAACTGTTTGAATCCGACATTCTTGTGCAACTTTATTATAACTATAGAATGTTCCAACTTTGTAGTAAAATGTATCTGTAAATTTCGGTACAACCAAACTAAGATAGGCAAGAGACAATCAAAGAGATGAAGAATTGCAGTTATTGATATACAATTACGTGCAAAGGTAAGAAAAAATAATAAAAGCTGAACATTTAAATACAGAGAAAAACCTAATAAAGGTAATACAAATTCTAAACTACCCGTAGTGAAATAAGAAAATGCCTAATAGAAGTTCTTTATTGTAGATAAGATTCATTGCATTTATGCTCTTTGTTGTATATTAATTTTTGAATGATTTTCACTACATATATTTGTTTTTTATGGCAGTAATTTGCCTGTATCATCCATAGTTTCAGGAAGTCCACTGTATTCACATACATGACAGATTTTGTCTTTGATTTGCATGTTGCAGATAAAATTTGCAAGTGTAGATCTGAAGTTGCACACAGATTACATACCTGGTGGATCAGAATCCATCTTCGATGTTGATCGCAGGGTTAGTGAACGAACACAAGTGATCCCCCCACTTCCAGAAGACAGGTTCCTTTGTGGTTTCAGCCATATATTTGCAGGTTTGCTTCTACTTTCTGACTTTCAACTTCTCAACAGTGTTCTAATTTTTAACTCCATTTGACCTTAAATGTTTATCTGTATATTGCTTTTTCTGTGAATATTAGGTGGATATGCAGCTGGGTACTACAGTTACAAGGTATTTCTTGTTCTTTCTCTTAAGATAACCTGTGTTCAACTTTCTGAACCACAAAAATAAAATATTGAGTGATCAAAGTATTTGTAATATTTTATCATATCCCTATGATTTGTGGCCTTGCTTTGTATTTTTAGTTGTCCATTTCCTATGGAATTTTATTTTGAGTGGAAATTGCTCTATTTTTCAGTGGGCTGAGGTGTTGTCTGCTGATGCTTTCTCTGCATTTGAGGATGCTGGGTTGGATAACAGCAAGGTAAGCTGGAAACAGCTGTACATAAGAACTGGACAAGTTTTGCAACTTACATTGTGTAACAGGGAGTAATAATTCATGAATAGATTATGCATCATCTTCCCGTCGCTCTTTGTTGATTTTTTATATTTATCTTATCCCGTGAAAGTCATGCGGCTTTGCTCACCTCATGGATTTTTTACATGCTTGAACACACAATGACATTGGACTTGGCCCATCAAACAGGTCAAGCCATCTGCCTTCTTTTCACGTTTGATCTATTCACATGATGTTTAATCTTGCAACAGGCTGTTAAAGAAACTGGACTCAAGTTCAGAGAAACCATCCTTGCTCTTGGAGGCGGGAAAGCACCACTAGAGGTTAGACAAACTACATTCCTTACGGCATGCATACCTTTTCATGATTTCCTTGTATTTTTTTCCCCACAATTTGTTTGTGGGAAAAGCTTTATTTGGTTTCAACTATCTCTGCTTTGTAATGAAATAATATACGGCTTTGTCCATAATCGTTCTAGTGCTTAACCAAGCTTTGGATCTGTTAATTGTCGTTCTTTTCTGTCAATCATTATAAGTGCTCTTAAAGAGCATACTGATTTAGATTTCTTTAATCTTATATCCAGTACCCTCCTAAGTTTCTTTCTGAATGTTTTGATTGTTTGTTTCCAGGTTTTTGTGGAATTCCGGGGTCGTGAACCTTCACCAGAGCCACTGCTCAGGCACAATGGACTATTAGCCACGGCTTCTGCATGAACTAAGATGAATTACGATGAATTATAATGTTTACTTGGCCTTTGATTTATTTTTGGCTCTGCTTGGATTTGAAAGGCATCATGTGGCCAGAAAAAGAAATGAGTTCAAATGTATCAATTGTCCCAAACCCATTGTAAGGGGGTTCTTTTGCGTCAATGACTAAAAGATGGTTGTATGAAGCGTCATTCATCTCAATAAGATTGCTTGTCCAAGAACTTGAAAATAACACAACAAAAACAAAAAAAATGCAACAGAGGAATGAGGACGGTCTTGCAATTTCATTTTATATTTTTTTTGTTTGTTTCTTCCTAACATACATACCTTCCAAAGAATTTGCCATGGTGAGAATTAAAAAATAACTACAATTAACGAAAAAATTTAGCTGCAATCAATGTATTCAGTTAATACTTTTGATATGAGCGATATTGAGTGAGATGGAAATCGAATTTAGGATTTCAGGTGTGGAGATAAATGCTCGCACAAGCCCCTTGCGAAATAACAATAATTGTTTTTGGCACTTGATACGCTACAATGTGTTTTAAACTAGTACTTTGTCAGGGCAATTGTTATTCAAACTCTCAGTTTGTCATCCTACGCTTCAAACTTAATGCAAGCAGTGTCATCTTACACAAATGCCGAACGTAGTGAAAGATTACATATTGAGAAGGAAAATAACACTATCATTAGTATATTTATTGTTAAAACAGGAAAGATAGATATTAGGCTGTTTATTAGCTAAACATTGTGCTATTCACCTTTTTGTCTATAAAACGAAAATGCTAGCAAAGGTCCTATAAAAAATTGAGCACATTATGAAAGAATTAAAAAAAAAAAACTAAATAAAAAGAGAACAATATAATGGAGGGTTTGCCTTGGAAGGTAAGACTCACAAATCATAAGACAAAAAGGTCATAAGCAATCCATTACCAATCCATCTATGATCTGAAAGTTGATAAAGCAAGAACAAGAAGCAACCCACCTCACCTCAAACTTCAAACTTCAAACCCTTCCACTCATTTTTTACAAACTACCAAATAAATAAATAAGACAACAACCACAGGAAGAAATAAAGTAAGGAAACCTGCCATCTTCACACCACCATCATACAAAAGCATTAAAAATCAATTTGCTCCCGTTCTATAGAAAAAGAAAAAGAAAATTCAACTTACTCCAATCACAGGCCAACAAAAAAAAAATCATAAAGGATGTATGTACCCACCTCAGTTAGATAGATTAAATAATGTTAGTTTGTTTAGATCTTTGAATTTGCTGGGTGAGCCACCAAGTAGACAGATCAAGATGGCTCGGGCAGGAGGAATAACAAACGCAGTGAACGTTGGGATAGCGGTCCAGGCTGATTGGGAAAACCGCGAATTCATCTCCCACATTTCTCTCAATGTTCGCCGCCTCTTCGATTTCCTTGTCCAATTCGGTACATCCTTTTCCAACCTGTATTCTCGGTTTTGGTTTTGGTTTTTCTGTTTGTCCTAGTTTGTTTCTAGTCTTTTGCTGGTTTGGGTACGTCTCAAAATCTTGTCTGTATTGTTGACTTGCTTCAGTTGGTTTCATGGTTCTTGCTGATATTGGTGCTGACCCAACTGAGATTTGGACCAATTTCTCTAAGTTGCTGATAGTTTTAGTGAGTTTGCTGATTTGGGTGTCTCTCATTTTGAGATTTGAGTGGATTTTAGACTTGGTATATGCCTCCCTTGAGGGTCCTAGACCATTAAAGATATGCATATTAGCCTGAAACGTAGCACCTTAGCCAAAATTCCACCTTGTTCTGCCAAAGATTTGGTTCTGATTTATCTACTTTAAATGGGAGTGCACATATATTTGGTTGAATTTTGTGACCCGAAACAATGAATGTAGGATAGTTAATCATCATCTTGTTCAAGCACCAAGCTTTCTCTTAACTGAACTCTTCTTGCAGCCCTAGTTGGAATCTTTCTATAGGTGCATAGTTGGAATGACTACTTTGCCCAGCTTCAGCACAATCCGTTTCAGTAATAATTTAGTTTGCTGGAGTCCTTGCATCTGGTTTCGAATCTGATTTTTCCTTTTACTTTTAGGATGGTGGTTTGTTTTCATTTGATCTACTTGTTGGACAAATTGGAAATTTTTCTTCCTTTTGGAATTTAATTAATGTTACACACTCTTGGGCTAATTTTTGTTTTTCTTGTTATTGAAGAGGCTACAACAAAGAGCAAATTGGCATCACTGAATGAGAAACTTGATGTATTGGAACGAAAGCTAGAACTTCTTGAAGTTCAAGTGGGTACTGCATCAGCCAACCCTTCTCTTTTTGCTCGTGATGCTTAGCAGATCATGCCATTCTTATTAGATTATAATATACCACTTTACTGTAAGCATCCTCTTGTCTATAGTGTGGACGTGAACTTATTTCTTGGTCTTGTAGCCCAGTTCAAAAGTAATCTATCCATTTTTCTGCTTGTATGTTGAGTAATAGAAGTAATTTGTTTGCCATGAGGTTATTTTGGGGGTATACACTTCAAACAGAGCATGCTCTGTTTGAAGTCTTTTATTTTCTCTTAGATACGTATGCATTGGATGCATTTTCAAGAATGGAAGAGGATCGCACAAAAGAATTTGACGGCGCAGGCAATTCTTGATATAGTGGATAAAAGACTATGCAAGTCTCTGATTACCTTGCCCAAATACTGTCAGATACAGCTATGTAGAACCCTAGTTGCAATTTTGCCAGTTGGGGTATTTTACGTTAGTTAGTCATTCTTTGTGGTCTTCTTTTCCTTCATTAAAATCAATTGCTCATTCTTTGTAGTCATTCTGGTTGAATTGCATGTGTTCTCTCATCTTCTTCTTGCTGCTCCCATAGCTCAGTCCAGTGCATTTTGTATAAGCTCAGTCTTCTTTGATCAACCCTATTGTCCATCTAACTTCACCTTATCTGCAAACAAGTTACTATGGTCAAGAAGACGAGCAGCTATACGCTATTGTGTTACAATGTTTTCAATTGGTTACTTCTTTAGAGATTTCGGACCTGTTGGTCTGGGATTTTTGTCTCGGTTTTAGGTGCTTGCTACTTATAGTTTTCAAGATTGACTTTGGATCCTTTTATTATAAGAATCAATGAATTCATACACCCTCACTTCCTATCTGTTTTGCTTACACAACTGACCCTCGTAATTTGATCAGACATGTGTTCAAGCTAACTCCTTTCCTTAGTATACATCCCCCCATCTTGCAAATTAATTAACAAGTGAAAATTGGGGTGACGGCTTTAAATCCAAGATCTATTGCAACCAGAGCTCCGTTACCGTGTTAGAAATTCACTAGACCCGTTTGGGACTGCTTATGTTAAAAAGAACTATACTCTAGAGAACTTTTGCTAGAAGTGCTTTTATTACCAGTACAGGGACATGGATTTTTTTTTTTTTTTGACAAATCCAAGTACTTTTGGAGAAGCACTTGCACTTTAAGTAATTTTCGTGGAGCATAATTTGGTACAATTATGAATTCTCAGTGACACATTTAAGAAGTCTAACGTTGAGACCCTATGATGCCTGCATATATTGCATTGGTTTTGGTAGGCTGTTCTCATCATTTATTAAAAGGGTCAAACACTGCAAAAGAAAGCCCACACCATTCTTCAGAACTATAATAGCGTTAAGTAGATTCCTTCACTGTAAGAAAAATATATTACACAAGAAGGCGCATAAATTCAAAAAGAGCATTTGGAAATTATCCTAATTTTCTCCTTTATCACTTATGCGAAGCAACAAAACAATCATTCATGAAGTGACGAAAAATCTCATAAAACCATTCACTATCTTGGCTCCGGAGGAGCCATTTGTGACAAAATAGGTGAAGGTTCTGAAGAAGAGGGTGATGGAATCCTTCTCTCCATGACCACAGAAAAGCGATTAGATCCAAAGCTCTCTATAGATCTCATGTATTCTGATGCGTTGTTCTCTATAATCAAAGCATCCTCCAGCTCCCGTACAATTTCAACCATGTTTGGTCGGGAAGCTGCGAAGGGCTCGATGCATGACACTGCCACCTCCACCACTCTCCACATAGCCTCTGCATGGTACGCTCCTTTTATGTTTGGATCAACAATCTCATCAATCTTTGATTCCCTTACATAGGATTTGGCCTGCATGCAAAGGTGTCTTTTTGTTAGTTTGCACTTATTGGATAATTACGCTATGCTTATTCACAATGATTTGAATCTTCGAGGGGGAAAAAGAATAGGAAAATTTTTCCGGCCAGTCTATCAAAATGCGGTGTCATGTAAGAGGTCATTGATCTTTACATAAAACATCAGACTTAGAAACAATATATGTATCAACATTCCCTGGATTCTAAACATGATCAAACATACCCATTCAACCAAGCTCCACTCGGGACGTGGCCTGTGTATGTTCAGAGGTTCCCGGCCGCTTACAATTTCAAGCAGAACAACGCCAAAGCTAAATACATCACTTTTAGCTGATAAATGATGGGTCATGTAGTACCTGAACAATACCAGATTGAGATTATTAAGTTCAGGTAAATGTTTTCTACAGTTTATGCTTTTTGCACTACCTGAAAACTTCAAGATGCAAAAAGTAGGAGACATTTTTAGCTTGTCCTGAATTTGTTCATGTACCTAGCGGATCCATGTCCATGTACATTCATCAAGGGTATGGTGACAGATTGACGTTGTATGTAGATGCAAGCTTAAACGTTATTTATTTTATTTAAATTGGCAGAGTGTTCTTGTAGTCCGACATCTCTACAGTCTACCAGTTCTGATTATAAACTAAAATAAGAAACTACAAAACCCAAAAACAATTCAAACCGAACAACTTAAGCTGAAGAAACAATCTTACTCTGGATCCAAGTATCCAGCTGTCCCTCTTACTTCCAGAGAAGCACAACTGTCACCTTCTTGGGGAGCATATTTTGAAAAACCAAAGTCTGCCACCTTGGCAGACATGCTATGATCCAGAAGAATGTTACTTGATTTCACATCCCTATGTATAATGCAACGCCCAGCAAAAGTGTGAAGATGCGTCAAACCTGAACAGTGAAAGTACTCTTCAAACCTTCTGATATTCAAAATGTTAATGGGAAAAGACGATGAACATCCAGTACATGAAAATATTATTGAATACTATATATAACTTGCCTCGAGCAGCACCAAGAGCAATTGACAGTCTGGTTGGCCAGTCCAGAATTTTTCTTTTTGCTGCTTCCCCTGTTAATTTATTTGATTTCAGTAACAATGAAAATCAAAAGGTATGAGTCCAGAGAAAGAGTGAGGTGACCAGTACCATAGAGGCGATCTTGTAGAGAGCCATTGGACATAAATGGATAAACTAGAATTTCTTGGTCATTTTCACAGCAATAACCAAGAAGAGGCACGAGGTTCTCATGGCGAATAGCTGAAAGAAGATTTAGCTGTAAAGTACATTAAAAGAATCGTCATTTCGCTTTTAAGGTATGTCAAAACATAACATGATAGTTCATCCACCAGTTAAGGAAAAAAAAAATCATTTCTTGATACGAGATAAATAGACAAAAGTTAAAGATCGAAGAATGATAAGCAATGATTTCCTACATTAACATGAATTGTCATATATTATAGTAGTTATCAGTACTTAATTACAACTTAAACCTCTACTAAAATCACCTAAAAGGACAAACTTGAAATAAAGAAAAACTACGATTGTTATGGCACCCCAGCCAAGGAGCATTTTCCCTGGAAATGCTTGAACCATGTAGGGGTTGCCTCTGGGGTGCAACACCCCAGCTGGGCCCTGCCCATCGGGGCATTGACATGGGCAGTGACCATGGCTACCACCACCATTCAAAACAACCCAAAATAAAGTAGGTTAGGATATAGGGGTAATCGGGAATATTCTTGGGTGGGGTGAGTAATGAACGCAAAGAAGTAAAAAATTGTAGGTGGTGGGAAAAGCAAATGTGAAAATAGAAAGATATTAAGTAATCTAGAATGCACAGGATGTGTTATATTTTATCTAATGGTAGCTGACTACAAATTTCCCTTCTCCACAAGGAGTGGGAGAATAGGAGTGATATTTCAAGTTCTGTGAGTCATATAAAATAGCTAAATCACATTAGATGATAACTGTAGGACTGTTGCATAAAGTTATCAAAAGCTATGACCAAAAGTGCTCAAAAATGAAAATTGAATCTCCAACCTCATTCTCAAATTCCCGAGTTCCTTGGGTTGATGTTGCTGATCGAACCTTCACTGCCACTTCCTGACCATCAATTAAAGTTCCACGGTAAACAGACCCGAAACCTCCTTCACCTATCAATGTTTTATACCTTTGGGTCGCAGCCTCTATGTACTCAAGAGTAAATGTTTCTATGGATATTGACTTTAAAACCAGATCATCCATGCTGGGTAATGAGAAGATTAAATCTGCAGTTCAAGGATATCTTTATTCAGAGGCTACGTATTTTAGAAAAGCAAACTATATAATCTGCAAAACTTCCTCAACTAGCCTGACAATGTAAACAATGTGCTCACTTCGTAGATCATAAGCACACCCAACAATTTTTGTTTATTGAATGTACAAGGGTATAATTGACATATATTTGTCTTTCATTCATCCCCACAGATATTGGATGCAAACTCAAAATTCTAATTCATGGTCACGCCTTCTATTTTATGCCAAGTTGCACATTTTCAAACACCACGGTGACATGATGATGCTAAATTACTTACACAAAAATTACATCCAAGTGTGATATATCCAGTAATTACTCTACAAACTATAGCAGAAAAGCTGTAACTACACATTATGTCATTGTATTGTGCCAATTTTACTTTCTTTTTATTTTCCCTAATTCAAGTGTGGTGCCAAATTAACTTGCAAAATCATGTCCCAAAACAAGCCAGCAAAAATTTGCATACTTCTGGCAAGTTTATATTAGACCGCACGTGGTATAAACTGAATATATTTATACTTAAAATAACTTATTAATAATAGGTGTAATATATTTTGATTTTTACTAATAATGATTGTATAAGAAAATGCTTTGTCTCAAGATCTGTATGAAATTCCACATTTGTAATACAATTGAATATTGCATACCATGTATAGTTAATAGCATTAATTTTAATTTGATTCATTTCTTTTTTTTTTTATTCACAATTTTTTTTACATACTAGGCATTTAGTACTCTATAATCTGTGTAAATGTGTTAGTATAATAATCTTGAAAATTGCAGGAATGGACATGAAACAAGAATCTGTGATGTCTTTTTATTGTTGTGGGGGCTACTTTTCCAGATTGGCAACCAACAATTGGAATTTGTATTTCTTACCGTTGAAGTCAAAAACCAAAATGAAATAACTGTTCCTAGAATCTTAGAAGTATGATTGGAATACCATGAACAATATAACATGTAGTGCACTCACTCTTTGCCATAGGATGATGTATTTTCGCATCAAATTTTCCTTGAGGCAGAAATTTTTGTCTCCAAATGCAAAAAATTATCCCAGCTATAATGGTTAGTAGTACAGACCCAGATGCAGCAGCGCCAATGATGATTCGTCGTTTAGAAGATTCTAGAACACTGCAACTTCCATGGCTGTAATATAGACATACACATTTCAGATTTTTTTTATTTAATACTTTTAGTTATTCTTCAATTCACTAATTTTTTTTGAATTCATAGAGAATAAATACATACTCTGTGGTAAATTTTGAGCCATTGAAGCCGGAGGGAATTTTTTTTGCAACATGAGGGTTGCAGCCCAAATATCTGTGGATCAACCACATGCACATGAATATATGGTGGCATGTTTAATGCTATGTCACTAATTTCGTACGTGAAAACGAATATCGAAGTAAAAACTTACAGTGTTTCCAAATGAGGCAGTGAGATAAGAGATACTGGAATTGACCCCGAAAGATCATTGCTGCTCAGATCCCTGACAATATGAAGCAAACCAATCAAGAAGAAAAAAAAAACTCGCAGGGGGTCATACAACACTCTCGCTGGAATGCTCAGAATACATAGAACTGAGGAGTACACAAAGAAAAGAATATGTGAAACCTTTAAAAAATAAAAAATTTGAGCCTCCAGTTTTTAACAATTTTTTTTGTTGAACTATAGAATCAGAACATCAAACATCAAAGTACAGTCATTATATATCCAGTAAATCAGACTGACTTCAATGGGTAGTTCCAAAACTAACTGACTTGAGAATTCAACCTATATGCCTTAAATATAGGATATTTCAGAAATTGCTCATGCGTTCACATGCAAGTATAAAGACAGGAAATGCCAAGAAAAACTACAACTTGACATATGGACTTGCATAATCCTAGTAGATATTTCACAATTTGAGCGTGGTATGTTTTCATGCAAGTATACAAATCGGAAATGTGTATGTGTGTCAGTGTAAATTCAGTATCAGCACAACAGATGGGGCGTTATCTTCCTAACTATGCCCAGAACAAGTCACTTGATCCATGTAAGAGAATGACACTTTCCTGCAGCTCCCGGCTGGATGAATGGATTAAGCCATTTTACAAAGCTTAATGCCAATGGCTCATGCAGGGTAATACTAGAGATTTTATAAGGTAAGCCAGGTGTGGAGACCTTCCTAACATCACATAATGACCTTAAAGGAGCCTATCTAAGAAATGCAGGCTATTTGCAATTTTCATAATAATCCTTTCGGTGAACAAATATTGCATGCGTTAGTATTTCATTAGTGCAGTTGGATAGCTATTTATTAAATCGCGAACAGAAATTTCCATCAACGTAGGATTTGAAAGAGAAAATTACACTGAGATCAACAAGGAGGAAGGAAGAAATGCTGGAATATCGCCAGTAAAGCCATTGTGGCTGAGGTTCCTACATATCACAAACAAAAGACAGCAATGCATTGAAATTAGAGTTACAGTAAATCAATAGAATCCAACACTAAAAACCAAAAGGAATGGCGCTTTAACCATACAGGGCTATTAGGTAGGTCAGCTTAGTGATACTTGAAGGAACTGGCCCTTTAAGAATGCTACTTTGATCAGACCCTCTACTGATGCCAGAAGAAAGATCCCTGAAAGTTGTAATAATGAGCAAAGTTAAGCATGAAATACCTATAAGAAAGCAATAGTAATTATAATAGAACATTGAAATATAATGAATTATCAATTTTCCGTGAAATATGATACTTATCTACTTTTTACCTATTTTGCAATCAAAATTCTTTTCAATTTATGTAACAAAATTAAAAAAAATTACCCATTTGAACTTACGGTTTTCTTTTTTTTATACAAGAAGTTGTACAATTATGATCTTTAAACCCCAAAGCATCTCGCCTAACTGAAAACTAGTATAATTCAATACAAACACTAAGTTGTCATGATTCCATCCAAGCCATTTGCAGAACTTTTTCAAAAGCAAGGAAAATAAATAACTTACAGTTTGGTAATGACAAGGTAACCATCAATGGCTGCACAAGTTATACCATCCCAGGGAACTGGAAGACATGGGTCTCCGGACCAACCCTCCCAAACTTCATTTTGTGGGTTATTCTTCAACAACTCATTCTTCACCTCCAAAATCACTTTCACTGAAGAAATAATGTGTCATAAGACAAAAGAAATAGTGAAGGCTAGAAAACCCACTAATTATTATAAACACCCAATTGGAAACTAGAAATTCTAGTGACAAACAAAACTTACCATCACTTTGGTTAGTCTCTTGAACCCATGGAAGCACCTGCAAGATCTCATAAGCATTGCAAAGGGGTCCATTTTCAGACCCAGGAGCCTTAACCAGTGTCAAATTGAGAAACCCATTTGCTGTGACAGTGAAAGCAAGCTCCTTGTAGTTGGAGCCATTACCGGAGACATCAAATCTCGATTGTTTCAGCTCATTGTTGAGGTAAATATCAAACACCCTTTGCCCAGGTTGAACTGTCTGGTTGACCTCATAAAGGTAGAGGAACATAAGGTACTGGTAGCTTGTTGTGGAAAGGCCATTGTGAAGAATGACCAATTGGTCTGAAGCCACCAGAGCTGTTTGTAGGACTCGCACGCTCACACTGGCGTTGCCGGAGATGAAGACATTGGTGGTTATAAGAGAGGTTCCACTTCCAAGGTCACTTGAATTTGAAGTCCAAATTCTGTCACTTGTGTCATTTGGGTACCTGAAAATTAACGAGGCCTGATATTAAATTTGTCTCGCTCTTTGGGTTGATTTCAATAGGCCCTTTGAAAGCGGAGTGGGGCCAATTGAGGCTCATAGAGGAGCCGGGTTCCACCAATTGATTTTACTTTTCTTTAAAAAAGAAACTACAAGGAGATGATTTCTCACACACACTACCAGTACGTCACAGGGGTTTGAACATGAGACTACTGATTTGCAAATCAATGCCTTTTTTTATTGGAATAGACTACGTTGGCCCAATTCATTTTACTTTAGAACTATCATACTACACCATTATTTTTTTTACGCCAATCACATGACATATTTCCTTTTTCAAGTGCTTTATGCTTCTAATAGAAGTGCGTGAAAATTTTCTTATGAACATGAATGCTTCTTATAAAAACTCTCCCAATGGGTAACTAATGATGTTGTGCGAGAAGTTCATCTAAAGTTTTGACCTTTTATCACATAGATGTATAAATTAATTGACTATTGAGAACGTGTGGTACAATGCTTGTCTTATAATGCTTGGTATGACACATTTGAATTGGATATAATAAAATTTCCTATACAATTTAATGTGTAAAATCATACGCATAATAAGTATAAAAAAAAATCATAGATGTTATATTTAAACAAGAAAAATTGCACATTTGTGTAAGATTTCCACATGCCATTATTCCTTTAATCACTATTACAATATTATTCATTCCCAGATGCATGTCAGCATCTCACAAGTCACATGCAAAACAAAGTGAGAGCAAGACTGCATTGGGCAGTATAAGAAGTATAAATGCTAGTTTTTCTACTTTGGTTTGGCATAATTTGAAATTTTAAAGTACTCTCTCCTGTTAGATATATGTAAACTAGCAAATTAAGGTATGCTTTTGGATTTGGGTTATTGAGTTTTGGGGAGCCAATTTTTAATTTCATTCTTTTCTTATGGTCATAATCCATCTTAATTAGGCCATTTATGTTTCTAATTTTGATTCATTCCTTGGGTTTAAAGAAATCAAGTTCTAGAAAGCATACCTGATCTCCTCTTTTGAAGTTGCATATTTAACTCTTGCAACCAGTTTCAGAACACTTGAAGGGAAGTCTTGTAGATATTTTTTCAAGCCATGCAGAGGCCTCAACTCAAGCTCTGAAATATAAGGAGCTCCTCCCTTCCCATTCACCAAGCAGAAGTAGGTCAAGTCCTCAGTGGCTCTCAAAATTCCTTCAACCACCACTGAGTCCTCAGATGAATCTACTACACCAATTGGGGTCACTCCAACTGAAACTGAGAAGTTAAAGTGTGAGCCCCAAAGAGGTCCAAATAGAAATGTGCCCCTTATCAGATAGTCTTCACCCTTTGTTGTTGATAGCTTATAACATCTTCTCTGACCTGAGCCTTGGTAAAATACTCTGGTTCTGTTGTAACCAGAATTGTTTACCACTGCCTTAACTGAAGTGTGGCAGCCTCTGTTATTAGGGAACTGATTAAAGTCTGATATCCAGTTAATGTTTCTACTATCCTTATAATCTGATTCGGCGCAGCATGCAATGCTCACAAAGCTGCCTGCATAATACAGCAGAAATTAAATTAGATCTTGTTAAGAACAATCAAGATATAAGTGTAACCAAATTTTGAGAACCCTAGTCTCGCATCTCCGAAAGGATCTCCCTTGACATAACGGTTAGGTGACTGATCTCCATGTTGAGATCAACCACTTTCAATGGTTTTGAATTTTAGTAGATTAGCAGACCATATATGAGACTTTTTTGTTGCAAAGTTACAAGAGATCATGACTCCTTTCCCACCTAATTTCTTGACCATATCATAAGGTTAGAAACTGAACCGCAAAAAGAAGAGATCTGGATGAAACTTAATATAGTTAAAATTAATCTAGATTGAAGTACAAAATCTGATTAAAAAATAAATTAATGCCTTATTTAATTTTGTTTCTTTATAAATTATGATCATAAGTTTTATTTACATGCTTACCTTCATCTGCAGAAGTAGGTCCAGAAAGAATGAAGAGGCAAATGATGAAAAACTCTATTAGCCTTAAAACCCAATAATCTAATTCCTTCATCATCCTTTTATCTTAGGCCGAGGTCTCCCCATTTGGCTATCAAACACATAACCAAACCAACATATGTGACTTTTTTAAATTCCACCAACTACCAAAACAAATACCCTTCTGAATTTCATGAAACTCAACCTCGTCCTGCCTTGTAATTCCTCACCTCATTCTACTTGACACAAAACCTTCAACTAATTTGCTCCAACAAATTAATTAGATGCAGTAATTGAAACAAAAGCATCTTGATCATGACAAAAAAATTCAAAATTCAAGCATGTGACAAAAGTACTATAGCACAGAAAATATTAATCTTGGAGCTTTAGAGACAAAAGAGCATCAAAGGGTCAGAA